TCAAAATATCCATATTTTTTTGAATGTTCCAAAGGCAATAAGGTCTTGTCCTGGATTCCAATAACACTTTTGGCTTGAAGTATTTCACTGAGTGCCATATAAAGGGTTAAATAGTCCAAAATAAATTTTTTAATTAATAATTAAATGTCAGAAAAAGTTATCAATTTCTTACAAAATATAACGATTATACACTTTATGGGAAAGAATTGAAAAAATTGAAGCAGTTTGATGTATTTTTTGGTGGGGGTTCCGTCTGCAGCGTTGCTATTTTTTTGGCCGAAAAGTTTGTGGGACCCCAAACTAATTTGTAAAACTCTTAGATTTTGGAGTTGGATGTAACTTTTTCCCTTGAAAATAGGTGATTTTGTGCAGTTTAGAGGTTTGCATGAAGCATGGCGGCTCACAGAGGAACCGTTTGTCCCACTTCTGAAAGAAAACTGGGATAAACATGAAGACTGTGCAAAGCTGGCTGATATTGAAGTTGTGCTATCTCTGCAAAAACACAACAACAAAAAAAAGAACCCTGTGATTCACCTCTGAAGGGACTAGTTAACCATCAACCATGGAGACACTCCACCTCTCTGATGGTTAGCAGGACAGGAGGACGCAGGAGGAGGAGGAGGAGGTGAGCTCTGCTTTCAGTCACTGCTCTCCGTTCTGACACCATCACACTAAGTCAGGCCTAAGACCTGTTCTAGTTCTAGGCGGGGCCAGGCCTACAGAGACCAGGGGGGCCATTATTAGAGGTGTGTGGGGGGTGTGAGAAAAGGAAGAAGGAGGAAGGAGGGGGGCATCAGCTTCTTGGACAAGTCGTTCTGCCCCACTGTCAGGTAGTTGAGATTTTGTTTGCCCAAAGCGCTGGTAGACATGGACATGGCAGACTACAGCGAGGCTCTGGACCCGGCCTACACCACGCTGGAGTTTGAAAACATGCAAGTGCTCCCCTTGGGCGCAGGTGAGTCTCATATATGCAGCTCTGGCATTGAACTTTGAAACTTTTACTGATTTAAAACTGGTGATAATACGGGGTCATTTGTCCATCTGCCCCCTTTCGCTCGCAGAGGGATGACCCTGCCGGCGCTCTTTTATCACCCCCCGGGGTTTAACAGTAAAACATTAAGAGCTCTGGTTTTATGAGATTTCTGAAGCGCCACGGGGTCAGAGGCTGACCTGTTTCAGCTTGCACCTTGACGTTGGACTGATATTCACCCTGGGATGAAGCAGTAGCCGGAGTATCATGATCGCCCTTCTCTGGTTACTAACCGCCTGTTTCCCACAGCGTTTGAATTATGAAGAAAACCCATAAAGTTCTTCAATATTTAAAGTGACACCAGCCTGTTTGTACAGGCAGTCTCCCATGACAAAATGGGCTATGGATCCTGATTCTAAAATTCCCCCCAGTGAGTAAAAGACGAGAAAGTGAAACAAATAGGGCGACTTTTTTTTTTTTTTTAAAAGGTGTGAGTTCCCCTCTGTGGCTCGGCTGAAATGTTTTTATTTATCCTAAAGATTTCCACAGAATGCGACTCCGCATTGATTTGGCCTCATGACTGTGACTTTAGATAAAGAGTCTCCAATGATTATCTTCTGAGAGGCAATCAAACCCACATCAATTATCTTCTGTTGACTCAATCTGAATCACTCAAGAAGGTAAAAGACTCCAAGGCGCTCTGCACGATTGCTTTTGTTGGGATTTGCTGCGGCCGTTCACACCTTTAAAGGTCATTGCAGGAAAAAAAAAGTGATCAAACATATTCCCACAAACTTGCAGACCCCCCCTCCCCTCCCTTCCTCCTGTTTCACCTTGTCACAGTATACCTCCAAAAGCTTCTCCACCTGATGAGATGTTTTCTCTTTTCACGTCAGACTCCTCGCCGGCTGAAAGCGCCAGCATGAACGCCACAGGCCACCTGGCAGCAGGCAGCCTTTGCGCCATATGTGGTGACAGAGCCACGGGAAAGCACTACGGGGCCTCCAGCTGCGACGGCTGCAAGGGCTTCTTCAGGCGCAGCGTCCGCAAGAACCACATGTACTCCTGCAGGTGAGGACTGACTTTCATAGAAGCTAACCCCAGAATCAGAAACTTGGCTCATTTGTGTCGTTTCTTCTCCAAATCGCCCTAAAAAGTGTCTTATATCTATCTTTTCAGGTTTAATAGACAATGCATTGTGGACAAAGACAAGAGAAACCAATGCAGATACTGCAGGCTGAAGAAATGCTTCAGAGCTGGCATGAAGAAGGAAGGTATTATTCCATCCCACTCAGCATTTATTGAAACGTTCCTTCGCTCGGACTCGACACAAGTCAAACCCAAAGCAAACTTTCCGTCCCGATCAGCGGATCAGCGCCGCTCAGAGAGCTGTCTCCACAGAATTGATCCGACTCGTCTCTAGGTGTTGCAATACCCAAGAGAGCACGACTTTGTTAATGTTCACTCGGCAGAGCAGTCAAGTCTCTGAGCGGCTTATGCTGAGCAAACATTTCCAAGCAATAATGACCATATACTGATAAACATAATAACCTCTGCAGACTTTTTTTTTTTTCTTGCAGTTTCTCTGGATTCAGCCTTAGAAAAAGGTTTTTTTTCCCACTTTAGTGCAGAAAAGCTCCTTTAAAGAGGCTCCTGTTGAATTAATACTAATCTAATCAGGTCCTTCAAAGCCAAACCAATCCCAGGTCTTAATCTAGATTATAATTTATCTCAGATTTCTGTTAGCAATGATGTCAGGATTTAAAGCATTCTCCAAAGCAATGCAATGCTTAAGGAGTAAAACAATATTCCGACTGCCGTAGAGCAAATATTTTATAGTTCTAGTCGTATTGAATGTTACTCCTGGCATTTATTTATTATATTTTTTATTTATCCCTTGGGATTACTCCTTCAGGGAAATTCTGGTTCCAGTGGCAAATTTTCAAGCCCCCCGTTAGAGAATACAGCCTTACTAACACACCGGAGCAGTAAGCAGCTGCAGGAGAATCAGGGATCAAACCCACGACTATCAGACTGTAATAAAACTACCCAACCCGCCGTGCTGCAGAAGCCTTTATGACCTGCTGAAACTTCCTGGTATTTTCAGACAGAAACTTCCGTGTTCATGATTGGCTTTTATTCGGGGTCCCTCAGGGCTCCGCTATAAAACGTGTCTCATTCTACCTCCTCATAGCCACAACCGGCCAAATTATTAACAACTTTGGGGGTTTTTTTGTCTATAAGCAGTTGCCAAATCGAAATTGTTACTTTGAGCATTGCACAGAAAAAAAAAAACATTTATAACTGTCAATAATCACATACACTGTCAGGATCTAGTCGAACGTACAAGAAATAAGTGGAAACGCAAACTCTATTTTTCATGTTAGTGTAACAATTCAATTCAGTTTATTTCTATAGCTCCAATTCACATCACATGTCACCATCACCAG